TAATTCACCTGTTTTTTGTCAATTATCAAAATAACATTTTCAATTGGATTTTTCTTTGGCTAGTCGGTCTGGGGTTTGCCAATCAGATGTTTTCCCGCATTAGCGGTTTGTTTATGTATCCCCGATAACACAGCTCGTCGCCAGAACATAAACGATTCCCTTATCCACTTAGAATTTTTCTGTCATTGTAATGACAGTTTTTGGCATTTGCTACTTATCAAAATATCCTTATCCATTGTTCTCTAGTCGTGGGTGTCCTACTTATCGTCCACGTTTGGGTCTCGCCTCTCTTTTCCTTTCTTTCCTTCCTCTCTTTCCTTTCTTTTCTTTTTGCTTTGGTAAATGGTGCCACAGGGGGATGGGCGTAGTGGGACGGGCCGGCACTTTTGGTCCGTGATGACTTTTTTGGAAAAAAAAAAAAAAAATAGCATAATTTCAAAAACTTTTGCGAAAAAGCAGCGATAAGGAAGAAGATTGGATTTAAATGTAGCCATTTTTTTTCCTTTGATATGGCTGACCCAAAAGCCATCCAACCAACAAAATAAATAATTTGTCTCCAAAACCGGCTCTCAGCTGGTGGGAACGCTACAATAAAGGGCTTGATATAGGGTTGGATTAAAAAAAAATTCAAAATTAATATATTTTTTTTAAGTGCAGGTGATAACTGATAACTGACATCCATCGAACGTGGAACTAGAACAGTCTACCCCAGTGATCGAAATAAAGAGTTCAGTTCGAAATTCCAACCAACTGAAGAAGGCCGGAGCGTACAACGGCCAAAACGTTGTGACAAGTATAGCGACAAAGATGAGGAAAATACTCCGACTAATGTAAATACTGTACATAATACCTCATCTCAGAAATATAGACAGACTCTAAAAAAACTGATAAATTATCAATTAAAAGTACAATGTGTTTTTTTGTGTTTTTCTTTTCAAATAAAACAGAGGGTATTTAAACAAAAACAATTTATATTTTCTTTAAATATCGTAAAATTTTTTCCGATTTAGAAAAAAAGAAGTAACGACTTCGTTCTTTTTTTTTTTTTTTTTTACATATTCCCAGTTTTGATTTAAAAACACACACACACACATAAATTTACGTTTATTTCATAATTTATCAGCAAGGAGTTATAGATACCACGTTAACAGAAACACGGAAAATAACCTGGCATCATATGGGCATTAGATTCTGAGAAATGGATAAATATATTAGAATTAATGGGTGTACGAATAATTTCGTCGCTGACTGTATATATATATATATATATATATATATATATATATATATATATATATTTAAATATAAATATATATATATATATATATATATATATCAATATATATATATATATATATATATATATAAAAGGCAGGATGTATGTGTGTGTGTGTGTGTAACTAATGCACGGCGGCAATTTTCGACGGATTTGCACAAAATTTATATGCACATGCTCCCAGTTAGCGGGAAGGCCAAGACCGAATTTTGCATTTCAACTCTCATCGATAGTGGAAATAATCGATTTCTTTCATGCTTCTGCGGCAGTTTTTCATGTAGTTTGCGGCCATTTTCTACTGGCCAGAGTGAGAGCCAATAGCCACGAATAGGCAGGAAGATTCTATTGACCAGGGTGAGAGCCAACAGCTAACTGACACGAATGTTAACTAGCATGCTAGCATGCAAAAAATCGATAGCTGCATTCGACCCTAGTGGGAAAAATTTAAATCTGCATTGCGCTTTACTCAAATTGGCTCATTCGCTTTCTTAAACTCAACGTTGATTCTGATTCCGCAGAACTGGGTTGGGTTTGAAAAAGTATTTGTTGTTAACATTCGTTTTTCATTCGGTTTTTCCAGTTACGAGTCCTTTTTTTTAAAGTTGATCGTTTTGTGTTCATTTTGTTTAGTTCTTTATTCGTAACAGATTTAATGTTTAGTATAGAGCTTAGAAAAATTCGCAGTGTGAGATAGGCGAGGAGTAAGGCATGTAGCAATATCAGCTCGACAAGGGAACTCCTTTAAAGGCAAGGAAGGGCAAAAATATTTTAAGTCAAGTGATAGCGATTGCTGTATGAGTCGTACGATTTTTGAATCAAGCACGGCAACGCCGGGCCATGCTGCTAGTATCACATAAAAATAAAAGAAATGAACTTTTGTTCCATTTGCCGTGGCCAGGTATTGAACTCACAACTTATTGGGTCAAGTCACATATGAATAAAAGTTAAATCCCGGTGGATAATCAATTACTTCCCTTTAGTAACTCAACTAATGAACACACAATTCTTTTGGGCAAATCACTTTTTGGATTACTTAAACAACGTTTTTATCCACTGAGCCATATGTTACATATCCTCAAAGTCCTGGGTATGACGATAAACTTCGACCGGCAGCAAGGCCTCTGGCTGGGAGATTTGAGTTTTTGGGGACCTTGGAACCATCTCATAACTGCTGTTGTTCCCAGGTCCACTCTGACACAGTTGGTAGCACCTGTTAGGGTCCTAGCTATGATGCAAATAGTATGGAAAAAAATCAGTATGTCATTTTTACAGCAAAATGACAATCAGTGCAACGCTAAAAGTGTATAAAAATACATTTTTATAAATAAAAATACCCAAAAAATACATTTTATAAAGTACACCCTTGTGCATATTAATTGAAACAACCGCTTTAGTTTCCTTTCTTTCACCGCACAGTCAGTTTTAGACCCACCGGAGTAACAGGGTGTAATCGATTTCTATTTTTTCTCAGATTAGGTCATTTGCAGTGGTGTGTAACAATATGAATCTATTTTCGGGGTATATGATGAAATTTGTTTGTCCTTGAAAAATATTGCGTCATGCTAATCGCATCAGATTTGCATCACGCCCAGACACTCTTGTCTCGACTGTCGATTAGTTGTCCTACGGCCATTGTCTGCAATGGACGTTACTCCAAGGAAGCGTACGAAAATTGTAACGCTGCACGAACATACAGGCAAGCCTTTCCAGTGAGCAACTCTATAGTTCTATAGACTTGTCCGGAAACTCTCCTGATTTAAATCCAATCGTGAATCTGTGGTCAATCTGCAAGGAAAGACTTCGTGGAATGGACATACGAAGTACTAACATCTGCACTGGGTCATGTTTCATTGGAAAACCTACGAAAAAAAGTAAATAATAAAGGAATAATTCGTTTTGTTTTAATTCATTTGCAAAAGGGTGTATATATGTAAATATACCTTTACCTGAAGATATAAAATTTTGAAGAAAATATTTAGATTTCGGCATTAAATAAGCCATATTGGGTGATATGCCGCTAAACAAAAACAGCCACCTCCACTACATAACGTCAACGCTAAAACTCTAGACATTACCTTTGCTAAAATAACACAAAATTCTTCTTCCTACCCTTTAACACTCTTTCTATAACACCTGTAAATTATCCCTAATACTAGGATCTTTACCACTACGTCCAAGACACTCGGATATATAGTTTAAAAGAAAAATAAATCCAACATCAATTCGGTAATTATCAAATAAATCTTTTACAATGTAAAAGCATTTATGTCGGAGAGACATCACTTCAGTATAAGATTTCTTCTGGAGAAAGGTATTTGCTTTAATGTCGGTTGCTTCTTTGGTATTATAATAGCTAATAGTGTGTTTTTTATTTTTGAAAAAAAAAAAGAGCTCGCATGAAGAATTTATTCGAAACATTAGGTTCTAAACTTGTGCGTCTGGAGGTCACATTCCAGAAAATAATGTCCGAACGAATAGTAACCCCCCCCCCAAAAAAAAACATTTATTTAAAATAAAAATGGTTCAAGCAAAATAATAAATATAAATTTTATGAGGGGAATCAGATAAAAAAAGTATAGAATCAGGAATATTAAAAATTAATACTTGATTTAGTCCTCTTCATTGTCTTAGCCTCGAATTTTTCGCATCTTGTCTACAACGTAGGAAATATAAGAAAAATGTCGTCTGCTGGATAAAAAATAGTAATCAAAGTTAAATATTTTCCTAATTGTCATCTTTATTTTTTTTATCAGTCAAAATAAGTTGTACTAATTAACCCATAGTTGGGGAGAGAAGAGGGGTGTTCATACATTTACCAAGTGTTCTTCCGTGTAAGTAAATATAACAAACACGTCTTGAATTGGAACTCGGCTCTCCAAAGAACAATTCCAAGTCTTTATTCTTTACGATTGATCGCGATCGCGTATCCCGTGATCCGTCACAGGGGCACCATATCTACTGCAGTCGCAGTAGAAGTGGCGTTTCTTGGGCAAGAGAGCCTGACTGAGTCCAACCCTTTCCAGAGTTTCCTTCATCTAGACTGGTTGCTAACCAAGGCTATAGAACCCAGCCTGTCCGGCTATTGGAGAGCAAAGGATTCATACCTTTCCCAAGGGTATTAGTACGTTTTGAGATTCTTCTGTGATTGGGCCCAAAGTCAACTTTTTACCATTTCACCCTAAGTGGATGTAATGGATCTGACTGGAATTCGAACCCGGCTCTCCAATTCCGCACTCCGAGACGCTATCCATTAATCCACCGTGCCTTTATTCATTACACCACACACATATCCAACATTACCGCCCCTGGTATTCCTAAACAACCAGGCACTGATCATGCTTGGCGTTAACTTCAGTGATTGTAAGTTAATTTCATTAATGTTGCTAGTTTGATTTACATTCTATGTTCTGACTTCTTCTGCTAGATGCCGTGTCCCTACGAGAGCGATCATACCTTTCCTTTCTTTGGAACAACTTTTGTCATTCTAATATCGCACCAAGTCCCTGTTCTACTATTTTACACAAGAACGTTAGGTCAGTTATATTATCATTCTGTTCCATTTGTCTACATTATGACATGTGTGTGTCAATGTTCTACTCCTTCTTTCCTTATTATCTGTAATTTCAAATGTCTCGTTCCGATTCTGAGTATGGGTCAGTTTTCCTGAAAAAGATCCGTGTTATATACATGCGCCGTCCGTGGTATTCTCAACATCCTCCTGTAGAATTACGTCTGTTACCTTTATTTTTAAATTGTTTCAGTTTTACAATCTTTCTTTCTTTCTTTCTTTCTTTCTTTCTTTCTTTCTTTCTTGTTATGTCTTTTCTTTCTTTCTTTCACTTTTGACATCAACAGTTCTTTCTTTCTTTTTCTTCAACTTTGTTTTCTTTTTTCCTTCTTTTTTTCTTTCTTTCTTTCTTTCGTGTTATGTCTTTTCTTTCTTTCTGTCTGTATCTTTCTTCTGTTTCTTTTCTTTCTTTCTTTCTTTCACTTTTGACATCAAAAGTTCTTTCTCTCTTTTTCTTCAACTTTGTTTCCTTTCTTTTTTCCCTTCTTTTTTTCTTTCTTTCTTTCATTCTTTCTTTCTTTCTTTTTTGTTGGCGTTTATTATTTTACGCTTTTATATTTTTACTTCAAATTCTTCTCGTTCATTACAGTTTTTGCATATATTTGTGGAACTCCCTTCCGTCATCGTGCTTTACAGCCAACATTAATCTCTGCAAATATTGAAATGCAATGTCAATCGCTATCTACTCTCCTCCTGATTACTCTTTCCTCTTCGCGCTCATTAATGTTTCTGTTCCTAATTCTTCCACACCCAGTAACCGCTTGTGTTTTAGTGGCTTCACTGCTTTCTTTCTTTCTTTCTTTCTTTCTTTCTTTCTTTCTTACCTAATCTGTCTTCTGTCTTACCTAATCTTTCTTTCTTTCTTTCTTTCTTTCTTTCTTTCTTTCTTTCTTTCTTTCTTACCTAATCTCTCTTCTTTCTTACCTAATCTCTCTTCTTTCTTTCTTTCTTTCTTTCTTTCTTTCTTACCTAATCTGTCTTCTTTCTTACCTAATCTTTCTTTCTTTCTTTCTTTCTTTCTTACCTAATCTCTCTTCTTTCTTACCTAATCTCTCTTCTTTCTTTCTTTCTTTCTTTCTTTCTTTCTTTCTTACCTAATCTGTCTTCTTTCTTACCTAATCTTTCTTTCTTTCTTTCTTTCTTTCTTTCTTAATCTCTCTTCTTTCTTACCTAATCTCTCTTCTTTCTTTCTTTTTGTCTTTCTTTCTTTCTTTCTTTCTTTCTTTCTTTCTTACCTAATCTTTCTTTCTTTCTTTCTTTCTTTCTTTCCTAATCTCTCTTCTTTCTTACCTAATCTCTCTTCTTTCTTTCTTTCTTTTTCTTTCTTTCTTTCTTTCTTTCTTTCTTTCTTACCTAATCTGTCTTCTTTCTTACCTAATCTTTCTTTCTTTCTTTCTTTCTTTCTTTCTTTCTTTCTTTCCTAATCTCACTTCTTTCTTACCTAATCTCTCTTCTTTCTTTCTTTCTTTCTTTCTTTCTTTCTTTCTTACCTAATCTGTCTTCTTTCTTACCTAATCTTTCTTTCTTACCTAATCTTTCTTTCTTTCTTTCTTTCTTTCTTTCTTTCTTTCTTTCTTTCTTTCCTAATCTCTCTTCTTTCTTACCTAATCTCTCATCTTTCTTTCTTTCTTTCTTTCTTTCTTACCTAATCTTTCTTTCTTTCTTTTTTTCTTTCCTAATCTCTCTGCTTTCTTTCTTTCTTTCTCTCTTTCTTTCTTTCTTTCTTTCTTTCTTACCTAATCTGTCTTCTTTCTTACCTAATCTTTCTTTCTTTTCTTTTTCTTTCTTTTTTTCTTTCTTTCTTTCTTACCTAATCTTTCTTTTCTTTTCTTTCTTTTTTTTTTTTCTTTTCTAACCTTTCTTTCTTTCTTTCTTTCTTTCTTTCTTTCTTTCTTTCTTTCTTTCTTTTTCCTAATCTATCTTCTTTCTTACCTAATCTCTCTTCTTTTCTTTCTTTCTTTCTTTCTTACCTAATCTGTCTTCTTTTCTTACCTAATCTTTTTTTTTTTTTTTCTTTCTTTCTTTTTCTTTCTTTCTTTCTTTCTTTCTTTCTTTCCTAATCTCTCTTCTTTCTTACCTAATCTCTCTTTTTCTTTCTTTCTTTTTTCTTTCTTTCCTAATCTCTCTTCTTTCTTACCTAATCTGTCTTCTTTTTTACCTAATCTTTCTTTCTTTCTTTCTTTTCTTTCTTTTCTTTCTTTCTTTCTTTCTTTTACCTAATCTTTCTTTCTTTCTTTCTTTCGTAATCTCTCTTCTTTCTTACCTAATCTCTCTTCTTTCTTTCTTTCTTTCTTTCTTTCTTTCTTTCTTTCTTACCTAATCTTTCTTTCTTTCTTTCTTTCTTTCTTTCCTAATCTCTCTTCTTTCTTACCTAATCTTTCTTTCTTTCTTTCTTTCTTTCTTTCTTTCTTTCCTAATCTCTCTTCTTTCTGACCTAATCTCTCTTCTTTTCTTTCTTTCTTTCTTTCTTTCTTTCTTACCTAATCTTTCTTTCTTTCTTTCTTTCTTTTCTTTCTTTCTTTCTTTCTTTCTTTCTTTCCTATTCTCTCTTTTTTCTTACCTAATCTTTCTTTCTTTCTTTCTTTCTTTCTTTCTTTCTTTTCTTTCTTTCCTAATCTCTCTTCTTTCTTACCTAATCTCTCTTCTTTCTTTCTTTCTTTCTTTCTTTCTTTCTTTCTTTTTCTTTTCTTACCTAATCTGTCTTCTTTCTTACCTAATCTTTCTTTCTTTCTTTCTTTCTTTCTTTCTTTCTTTCTTTCTTTCTTTCTTTCCTAATCTCTCTTCTTTCTTACCTAATCTCTCTTCTTTCTTTCTTTCTTTCTTTCTTACCTAATCTGTCTTCTTTCTTACCTAATCTTTCTTTCTTTCTTTCTTTCTTTCTTTCTTTCTTTCTTTCTTAATCTCTCTTCTTTCTTACCTAATCTCTCTTCTTTCTTTCTTTCTTTCTTTCTTTCTTTCTTTCTTTCTTTCTTACCTAATCTTTCTTTCTTTCTTTCTTTCTTTCCTAATCTCTCTTCTTTCTTACCTAATCTCTCTTCTTTCTTTCTTTCTTTCTTTCTTACCTAATCTGTCTTCTTTCTTACCTAATCTTTCTTTCTTTCTTTCTTTCTTTCTTTCTTTCTTTCTTTCTTTCTTTCCTAATCTCTCTTCTTTCTTACCTAATCTCTCTTCTTTCTTTCTTTCTTTCTTTCTTTCTTACCTAATCTGTCTTATTTCTTACCTAATCTTTCTTTCTTTCTTTCTTTCTTTCTTTCCTAATCTCTCTTCTTTCTTACCTAATCTCTCTTCTTTCTTTCTTTCTTTCTTTCTTTGTTTGTTTCTTTCTTTCTTACCTAATCTGTCTTCTTTCTTACCTAATCTTTCTTTCTTTCTTTCTTTCTTTCTTTCTTTCTTTCTTTCTTTCTTTCTTTCTTTCCTAATCTCTCTTCTTTCTTACCTAATCTCTCTTCTTTCTTTCTTTCTTTCTTTCTTTCTTTCTTTCTTACCTAATCTTTCTTTCTTTCTTTCTTTCTTTCTTTCTTTCTTTCTTTCTTTTCTTCCTAATCTCTCTTTTTCTTTCTTTCTTTCTTTCTTTCTTTCTTTCTTTCTTTCTTTCTTTCTTACCTAATCTTTCTTTCTTTCTTTCTTATTATTCTCCTTTTTTAGTTTGTCTTTATGTTTTTATTTTTATTTTCACCAACCTTTTCCGGTAATTCTTATTCTCATTTTTAATATACCTACCTCAGTTTGTTTCGGATTAAAAATAAACGCCTTAATTCTTTGAGAAATTGCTTTGGTTACATTTCGGATCCGAAACTGAACAGATGTAGCTTTCGAAAAAAAAAAATATCTGACCATGGGATCTGCATTACAATTCCAAATCGAACCTTGTTGGTTTGTGATGTTCTCCCTGTCCAACCGGACTGTAGCTCGTTGGACCGGACCGTAGTTTTTCCTAAAAAGAGGGATACAATTTCGAAAGCACGTAGATGTACTAACCCTGTTTTTTATTAAAAAAAAAGAAGGCGTCTATTCAAATATGAGTATCCACGAAAATAAAATAACATTTAAAGCATTAAAATTTAAGATTAAAAATAAATCCATTCATTCTTTAGAAATATAGGTATATATAAATAATACCAATAGCTAATTTGTAGGGGTGGACATTAATCCAAAGAGATATTATGAGAAATTTTCATTTTCATTTTCTTTCTTTTTTGCTCACCACTTTCCTTTTGTCTGGACAAATTGATTTCATTTTGAAAAAACCTTCCGAAGAGATGAATATTTAAATATATTCATTTTTGTGGTCCAGGGAAGAACAACACGAACACAAGAGTAGAAATAACGAAGGTATATTACACGAAATAATAATACAAGATGTGGAAGGTGTTAGTATGACTGTCAGTCTGCTTTGGAGTGAACTACTATCGGCTCGACTCGATTCTATATGTACTTCCCCCCACCCCCCGAGGGAAAGATGTGGTACAAGACCGAGTTTAACGTGGGGCTCCCGAGCCCGTAGGCTCGGCCAAAAAATGCCCGTAGAACCCGTATAAACGGGATCGGGTTGGTCAACCTCCCCGAACGAGACTCTGCCCTTCGGCGGAGCCTCGTTCGGGTTCCTCTCCGCTCAGAGGCAGAGAGTTCGACCGTCAAGCCGAGAAGCTCGACTAGATTCGGTATCTAGCCACCCCACGACGAGGGTTGCATGTGGCACAAGGCCTAGTTTAACGTGGGTTTCCCGAGCCCGTAAACTCAGCCAAAAATGCCCGTAGAACCCGTATAAACGGAATCGGGTTGGTCAACCTCCCCGAACGAGACTCTGCCCTTCGGCGGAACCTCGTCCGGGTTCCTCTCTGCTCAGAGGCAGAGAGTTCGAACGTCATGCCGAGAAGCTCGGCTTGATTCGACCCTCTCTCTCTTGAGAGGCATAGTATACATAGTGTTAGGAAGAGTTCATTTTGTAGTTATAGGCAAGAACCCATGTCATTCATGAAATAAATTATAACCGAAATGAATGTTTAAGGATCGTCGTTACTTTAAATTTAAAAGAGAGCTCAAAACAGAGGAAAGATAAATATTATTTATTTTAAGAATATTAAAACGTGTTTAAAATCACCACATAATAGCAATTATGTTTCAAAGTTAGTAATGTGTCTCTCCGGTCGATGTTAAACTATTGGTGAGTGAAAGTTTAATTTCATTTCAAAAACAGAATACTATTAAGAAGCTTATTTTTTTTAAACGTATTCTGCTTTTGAAATTAAATCAATCTTCCACTCGCCGAGGAGACACATTTATAGTGTTGAAACATAATCGCCATTATGTTCCGATTTTAACCATGTTTTAAGATCCTAAAATAAATAATAGCTATATATATATATATATATATATATATATATATATATAAAGAATAATCACATAGAATTAATCAGAAGTATCAATACGATTATTGGCGACATCCATCGCTAGAAAACATAATATATGCATTAAAATCCTGTTCATCCATAGTGCGAGTTTTGATCCTTGAAGAAAAACTTGTTGTCTGTAGTTTTTCAGTTTATTTGATGTTAAAATGCTAGTACTTACGGACAGTCTTCCATCCATCATCAGGCATGTGTTTTTTTTCCTTATAAAATCAAAAACTTGAGACGATATACCTGTATGTCGACCGAAATAATATAATATAATTTTTTGTTAAAAATACTTTATATATATATATATATATATATATATATATATTTATATATATATATATATGAATTTCATTCTTTCTTTCACATATATTTATTCTCTATTTTTATATCCCGTTTTCCGAATCGACCATTGCATTTATTTAGCTACTACCCTTCAAAAGTGTAAGTTTACATTCATTTTTTAATCATTGGAAGTAAGGTCTGATGATCCCGGGAAGAAGGAACTCATTGTGGAAATAAATTATAACCATGACCTTAAAGTTATCTGGTTTTCTTTAAATTAAATTATTCGCTTTCATTTGACATCAAGATCTCTGGATTTCATCCTCCTTGGGAGGATCCATAAGGAG